GTGAAATGCGGCAGGGAGCACAGGGCCAGTGGGGGACTGCCAAGACCCCCAATGGCCCCATGCTCCCTGCAGTGCTTTCGCTTTTGAAGTGTAGCAACAGTTCTGGAGCTGTTGCAACACTTCAAAGGTGGAGGCGCCCTTATCAGCTAATCAAATAGTTGATGCAAAGTGCATCAACTATTCATTTAGATGATTAATCTAAATTTAACATCCCTATTATATACAAGTTCAAATAGGTCACATTCATGACAATGAAGTTACAGGTGAGATGCATTTGGCCCAATGGTTAGAGGTTAGTAAATTCTTCAATATGATATTAAATAATATAAACTAAACATTTGATATCTAAATAAAAGGAAAATATAAAAAGCCAATAATCAGACCACACAAAGGCGAAATCCTGCTAATATTTACCCATGCAAGTAGCTGCAATGACTTTGTTGGGAATAAGAGTTGATAAGGTTAAGTCTAGAGAGAGAACAACATAAACGATACTTCACACCGAGGTGATAATTACAGCTCCAAATCCTTCAAACATTATTCTTTAATTGTAATTACTTTAGTAGCCACTGAAATCAAAGAAGCCACTTGAGTCAGTAAAATTAACCACATGGGTAAGTGCTTGAAATGTCTGGGCCTAAATATAAATTGCACAGAATTCACTTGGTAAGCTTGTTGATTATACTATACTTAGGGGAGAGAGAGAAAATGAATATACACCCTCTCCCACAGTCAACAGGGGGACATAACACAGTAATCTGAAGGAAGGATTGGGGATGCAAGAGCACATGCTTCAAGAAAGAGATTGCCCCCCGACATCCACCATCTTCCCACTAGCAGAGACAAGAGACCAGGTTAGCTGCTTGGCTCTCTCACCCTGTCCATCCTTAGATAAAAAAAAGTGAGCTGAATTCTATGGGTGGGCCTAAACAGGTTCACCCCAAAGCACTGGTGACAAAGTGGGAGCCCTTTAACCCTGCAGTGCACCCAATTAAATGCCTGGTATGTCAGAATTGGTAAAGGAGATATAGTACCCCTTCCCTGTTTTAAATAAATCAAGCTGTGACTTGCCACTTACATCCATTCCACATTCAGAACCTACAAATCAGTGGATATCCTACTTTATATCTGCGGATGCAGATATTCACAAACAATGTATCAGATGCAGATACAAGACTCTACCCATGTGTCCATCATTTTATGTGTCTGCACATCCAGACCAAAGGGCTAAGAGACTTTAAAAAAGAGCAAAGCTTAATAGGATAAGATGCAATATGGATATACAAAAACATGTTTGGAGAGAAAAATATGAAATGAGAAAGCCTCCTGCATAACAAAATCGCCATAGATATAAAATGAAGAGAATGTGCAGTGTAATATAATAGCAAATAAAGACTTAAAATTAAAGCATACTGATGCCTGATTTACAGAAAAGCCTTAGCATAAGGCAACAGCATTAAATGTATATTATTATTCTTTAATTAACATTATAAATTATGAAATTCATAAATGAAGCAGTCCTGGAAAAACCAGTTATCTTACTAGTGATATAGGACAACCAATTCCGAAAATAAAATTCCTCACCTGATTGTCCTAAATCCCTAAATCTTATTAGCTTTGCATACTGATAAAGTCAAGGGATAAAAGTAACCTACAAAGAACAACAAGGAGGAGCCCTGTGGCACCTAAAAGACTAAAATATTCATTAGGGTATAAGCTTTTGTGGGTAAAATCCACTTCAAAAAGGTGCCAAAGGACTCCTCGTTGTTTTTGCAGGTACAGTCTAACATGGCTACCCCTCTGAGACTAAAGAGAACACATATTCCTAGTCACATACATACATTCACCCTTGCAATGCTAGAGAAGGATCACTGAATCGCAAAGTTTATTTTAAATGGAAAAAGTTACTTTTTGTAGTAAATTCCCTATCATTCCACATCTGCCCATACCAACTATCTATTGTAGCATATTCACCTGCAAGAATACCAGTGCAGCACTATTCATGCACCAAAACAAGTTTCATTGGACTGTGACAATTGAATTTCTTATCTTCACTTAGACTAGCATATATAAACACAGAGACTGTTTCCAAAGAGTTCGGTTTCAAGTAACCATACCAGTAACAGTAAGATGCCAAACCTGGTTCAAAAGATTTTAAAAACTGGTAAATGGTATTTGTCAGTTCTGTAATGTTCTAATGTATGTATGAGCACACTGGGTTTTTTAAAACTTTTTAGAACAGACTAGCTGGAGTTACATGGTGTTGCTTGGGACAGCTGATATAACTGAGGTGAGGAGCCTGAGGGGAGGGAGGGGGAAGGGAGCCACATACCTGCTGCAGGCACCCTAGCCTGCCCTCCGCTTCCTTGTCTCTCCGCCGGCTATAGTGAGTGACTGTCCCCACCACTTCCCCTGGGAAGCTGCTTCTCCCCGCACTGCCAAGTTCCTCTCATCTCTTCCCTCCCACAGTCCCTTAAAACCTTCTCCTGGATGACAGGTTATCCCTCCACCGGTCTTAGTGAGCGACTGTCCCCACCGCTTCCTCTGGAAAGCTGCTTGTCCCTGTACTGCCAAGCTCCATGCAGCCCTGGGGAGAGGCATCCGTCTCTCATCTCTTCCCTCCCACAGTACCTTAAAACCTTCTCCTGGATAAAAGGTTATCCCATGCAAAGTTTGGTTGCGGTAGCTCTTACAGCGTGCAAGTTATTAGCACACAAACATTCTCCTTTATATATTAGTATTAGATTTCTGAAAAGCATCATGAATAAATACAAAACAAAGGTAAGATATCTATTCAGATAAATTTTAACTGCACAAGTAGTCAATATGAGGAAAGCCCAAAACACCTCTTATTAAAAAATATTAATCAGATATATTAATACTGTTGACTGAGGATATCATCTTTCACATGCCAAAAGGCAAGAACAGCTAGATATTCTACAGCTCACCTTTTCCCTTAACAGAGCTTTTTAAAAGTGTGTATGAATTCATAAACCCCCTGTGAACGAGTATGAGGACCAACGGCCAAATAAGTTACTGGAAAGATGTGTTATACTGGAGGAGAAAACGTGTGGAAGGAGAGGGAGAAAAGAGGGGATAATAGGAGGAAATACGGAGTTCACTTGAAAGCAAATTTTTAACATTTTGAAGGCTGTTGTATATTTTGATTCAGAAAATATCTGAGCTTAATAAAAATGTGAATAATTTGTTGCTATTCAATTTTGTGAGCAGCAATTGAAGAAGTCCTCTCATTTTTAATAGTTTAAAACCATACTTAGCTCCATTAACTTCAGTGGGGCTCCATGTATTTTCAGAGTTCTCAAATAGAGCTTAATCTAATTACTGTAATCCACATACACTAGAGAAAAACATCTTTTCTTTGTATAATTTATGCATTTGACATTACTTTATCACCATTGTCACTGTTTTGTTGATGACACACACACATTTTTCTATATGTTTTAGGAAAGCTATTACTAGTATGAGCAGCAGCCAGAGCTAAAAATGAAGCAGGAGCAATCAGCAGGCAGATGTGCTCAGAGAGAAAAGAGGAGAGGGGAGATTGGGAGCTGAGCATATTTCATGGGGTTGTTCTCAGATCCAACCAAAATCCCCTCTAAACATATAATAAGGAAGGAGAAAAACCTGCAACAATGTTTAAAGGATTTTTTCAATATATTTCAGATTGTATTTAAAGGATACACTTATTAAAATATCATTATTTCTTTGAAGTGCCACCCAAAGGGCACAGGACCCCTCCGCCCCCGGGCTTCCCACCCTAGGACACAGGTCTCTGGCATGCTTGCTTCTCCTGTCCAGGAGCAGCTCACAGAAACGGGGCCGCAGCCCCCGATTCTCCATGACTCAGACACAGGCAGACTCCTTGCAGACCAGACCACTCGCCCCCGGGGGCAGGTGATGGGGTAGAACTTCACAGTAGTAATGCACTATGCAAGTATTATATTAATTGCTGCTATTTTCAGTTATTTGACTAAAAACCTAACTCAATATAGTTTTATTTTGCTGAAGAGCGAAACATGTTAACATCTAAAAAGAAATTTGCATAAGTGTGATACCTAATGATAATTAAGGAGACAACTAGTGGAGTGCAATTTAAAGATATATAAAGCATGAGATGCAGCAGAGAATGAGAAAATGATCAAGAAGAGAAACACTCCAGCTGATTTTTCCTGTTAACAGCTAAGGCCCCAAATCTGAGTATGACTTTATTCCCTTGAGTAATCCCACTAATTTCTATAGGACTACACATTAAAAATTAAGCATATGAACACATCTATGCAGGACTGGTGCCTAAACAAGATCCCCTGTATTAAGATGTTGAGAAGGCACCTATATACACACTGTTTATTTTATTATGTAAATGAGAGTCTCTCCA